TTCTTCTCTACGAGTCGCGGTGCAAAAGTGGATCGCTTCGGGGAAGCGCACCGTTAAAATGTTGCGGTTTACGAGTCATTGTCGACCCTATCGCACGCCAGGATCTTTCTGCGCGTTTGCATCCGCGCGTCTTAGAAAGTGCGGGTCGTTTTTCGCTGAGCTCGCGCGATGAAGTGGGAAGAGCGTGGTAAAAACGCATCCAACAGATGCGAGATGCACCGCGGGAGCACCTTGAGCTACTCTGTAGCTCACGTCATCCCTGGGCTCTCATTACAATGTTACGAATCACTGATCGGGTTAATCAAGGTCGGATTTACGCATACTACCTCCACGCCGTGCTTAGAAAGCGCCAATAAATTTGCACCCAATATCCTACCGGAAGCAACGATTAAATCGCTTCACGGCGAGCGAACTCTACGTGACGACTCATTCGCCGTTGAGATTAGTCGGGCGGAGTTTGCGATAATAATTAATAACCCAGGTAGAACATTTAATCGTAAGATCATTGCCTCCATATAAGATAAGATCAATATGACATCAAGTTGAAATTATTTTATGTCATGAATTTATCATAAAATCATGTATCGAATGACTTCATTATGATTTTTCCTAAAATAATTTCTATTCGACGTCATTTTGATCTTATTTTCATTATCGTTCACAAATAAGTTCTTTTTGTATGATTTAAAGATTAAAAGTACAATTATACACTGAGAAAAATTTCTGATTAAATTGAACAATCTAAAAAATTCTGATTGTATCAATTAGAATTTTGGTTATCTTAACTACCCAAGGAGAACAAAAAATCAAAATAATGTCAATTTGACGTCATATTGACGAATTTATGTCATTTTTTGATCATGATAAAAATCTCGATCTCAGATGATCTAAGAATGATTTTATACTCCGAATGCGGAAATTTCGGATCACCCTGTATACATATGAAGTTATTTGTATATAAATTAGTTATTTATATATAAAGTCATTCTTAGATCATCCGAGATCGAGATTTTTATTATTACCAAAAAATGACATAAATTCGTCAATATGACGTCAAATTGACATTATTTTGATTTTCTTGTTCTCTTTGGGTACAATTACAATAGATTCAACTAGAAGATTCTGATTTACCCATTTTCGACAGAATTCCAATTAAGGCGATTAGACTTTTCTTCCAGTGTAAATTTGAGATCAAAACATTCTGATTTTTATGCACTTGCATCGATTCCCGCGCCATCGTGGCCTTTTTGCCTTCTGATAATAACTGATTCTTGGGACAAATGCAATCGATGAAACAGCTTGGATTTAAAAAAATGATATATTATATCAGTATCGCAGCTACATAGACATAAGTCAATTAATCGGAGTCGTTCGAGATAACACTTTCAGTCACGAAACTGACGTGCTGTTTGTTTTCTGCTTCGATGGTGTCGGCACGATCTAGAAAGCGCAGTAAACTCGCACCCGAGGAGCCGGGAAGTGATTAATCCGTTTTTAAGACTCGTCGAGATTTTCAATTGCGTTTCATAAAACTCGAGAAAACCGAGAGCGCACTTGTAATAGTTGTATCGCGTGTCGTGTGGGATTATTCCAACGACGAAAGCAATCCGTAACTATAAAACATTTAAGATATTCTACATATCTCTTTTATTTTAGATTTTATATAAAAGAAATAAAAGAAAAGAAAGAAAGTTAGTCTCAATGAAGTAAACAGTCTTTTTTTGTTAGAAAAATTTCTAAAGATATAATAAAATAGCAATAAACAATTTTAATAAAGGTGCGCCATGCAATGATGACTTTAAGACAGAATATATCCATCCAACGCGTGTAAGCCACAAACCTTCTAATTTGTAGTAATATGATTTAGCGGAGGTTACACATTCATCTTCCACAATCGTCCATACGAAGATCTTTGCGCACACATGATGATAATACACAAACGATAAGGACCTAGTACACGCAAGGCATTCACGCACACAAGATCTCGCATTTCCTCTACGTGAAAGATACTGGACACGTGAGGTCCTTAAGATCTGCCCTCACACGAAGCGCTCTCGCACATAAATCTATCTTGCGCACACGTAAGACGGATAGACAGTCGTACAGTTCCCCTTACTTTAGCTTCCATTATGCCTTTAACCTCCCCGCGTTACGCTCTCGCTACTAGGAATTGATTGGGTTAATCCCAAAGATCAAGGGATCCTCCTGGAAGAATCTGCACCTGCGATGCCGGCGTTCGCGTATTATCGAGCAGACGCGCTCGCTAGAAAGTGCCGATAAATTTGCACCTGACTTGAGGAGCGGAAGACGATTACATCGTTTCATCCAAGGTACGGTCTTCAGCGACCGTCCGCAGGAAACGAGGGGATATATCATCATCGTGTGGGATTGCCCGTGGTGGGATTTACCAGGCACTCCGGCTCGTTTACTCGCCTCTTCTTGCCGATCATCGCCGGCAGGAAGCACGCGGCTTTTCCACGCCGTAGAGATTCCGCGGCGCGTCAGTTTCAGATCGGGTCCTTTCTTTACCGTAGACGTTTCCGCGGTTCGATGAGAACCTCGAGAAATTTCGCACCGTTCGCCGTTCGCCAGAAGTGCCGGCCGGAATGATACCCGTTCGCTACCGTGAGTTTTTGCTCGGTCCCGCGAACACGCTGCATATCGGCGGATATCGTTTCCCGACACGTTAGTCGCAAACAAAGCATTACGGTCGACAAGCGGAGCAGAAACGTCTGACTACATCCCGCTGTCATTTGCCAGCCGCGAAAAAAGCCGCCTAATGAGACGTGTCAGCAGCAATCTACGTTAATGCGATCAGATATTATATGGCGGTATATATTTTCCCGTTAATTTCTTTTACAGTTTAGGCGTTTAAAGCGTAATAAGGAAAACGTTAACGCGCGCGCGCGGGAATTAATATCAATAAATTCTCACTTGTGTTCTTATTTAATTCCCGAGCGACAGAATTAAACCTTTTAAAAACTGCATGATGTAGTATACAGATTACAATCTGAAATCGTGCGTATGAAGTTCGTTAAGTTCGTGATTTAGATCCGGACGGGATCGTGTCGCTGTAATGATTGCGTCTCTCTACCGGCGTGATAATTACATATTAAATGACTGCTGCTATCGATTTCTTTTCCCGCTGCGAATTAGTTTCAGAGATGAAGAAATATAGAGTCTTTTAGTTCTCTTTCCGCTTCTTCAGAGTAGCGACACTTTATCATCTGCCTTCAGACGCTTCAAAGAATTTCAATTGGAAAGTAAACGTAATTGTCGCTTTGGTAATTCTTGAAACAAACTTTAATTATATTCTCATTCAATTAACGACGACAATTATACACGTTTACGGATGTTCCAGTGGTTTGTGTATTAGAGTGTATCTCAATGTTGAAAGAAGATTGGGAAACGTGCTCTAGATACTTGCATTTCATTTCGTGGCGATAATACCCGGTATATCTCCGCGACACGTCACCGACTTCCACGATTGAAAACTTAATGATCCGAGGTACGCGGAGTGCGACGAACTTTCCGAGCTATCCGCCCATCGATTTCTAAACACTATTTTATTATCCAGCTTCCTCAGATCGGATCATTGGGCCCGACAATTTTGCGATTCGCGGATTACGCTCGAAGGCGCCCGAGTCGTCCGAGCGCTGAAATTCACTTTCTAGGTCGTAAAATCAAGCTCATCAGCGGCGTTTTCTGCCGAAGCGAATTGTCTCGCGTTCTCTTGAATTTTTCCTTCCATCAATTTTTTTTCGTCAACTTCTGATCGCGAATCCCTTTGATCCGTTCGGTATTCGCGAATCTTGTGACATACAACGCGATATTTTTGTCGTGATTTAAGCTCGACATCGCATACGATGATGCTGCGCAAAAAATAAATATTAAATCGGGCATTTTATAGTATGGATATATCACTTTTTTTACGTTTCTTTACGTAACTACGCGATTTGTTAATTTTACACACATTTGCGATAAATATTATTATATTATTTAAAAAATTTATTGTACGTCACAGTCTATTGCGAAATTTTTTTGCCATTGCAATTTTTAATATTTATCGTTATATATTTATTGGTATTTGAAAAAGTCGATTCATGACATTTATTCTATGACTAAATAGTCGGCGCATAATTTTTTCGGATGATTGTGTGACTTTGTGTTGATCTCGAAATCGGATTTCTGTTTAATTTCCAGCTGAACCCGTCGCGCGAGTGGAATGCGTCGTGAAAGGTGGAAAAGTGTAGGGACGATCGAAAGGATTGCAACGGCCTTAATTACAGTGCCGGTACTTTTTTCCGTGCTATCCTTTCTTCTTTGCAAATTAGTCATGCATTATACCGTCGTAATTTGCAGTGCGGCTTAATGTAATTTAAGAACAATGTCGTTTTTTCATAGGATTTTCTTAACATTTGCGAATAATATTGGCCAGCTGATGTAATTCATATTTTTACCCGATATTAATAAAAAAACTTTGTATTATAGCGATTCAAATTTAAGTGATGAGACGATAGTTAAAGTCATGTATTATAATTCTCGATAAGTAAATAGAAAGATTGCGACAGCCTTCAAGCATAAATGAATTATGTTTCATATATGTCATTCTGTTGATAGTTCGGATATGAAGAGAGTAGAATCGATAAAATGCTCCTTATAATTAATATTGAGCGTGTATGTGAGAAATATAAAAGAGAAGATACAAATTTTAAGATATATTTGAAGTAGAACAAAAATCTATGAAAGAGAGATTTTAATTTATAAAGTGTAAATTTATAATATCGAATACAACTTTCATCTCATTGAAAAAACATAAAAATTTAACACATATAATAATTCATTACACATTTCATATTACATCAGAATATATATTTCAATAAAATTGAATGTAATAACAATTGACAAAATAAAACACCAAATTTTTTACGGATCAAAATGTGAAAAATACATTCATATCTTCTCTTATAAAGTGAAAGTCCACATTAGATATTTTCTTCATTTTTCTTTCATTTTCATAAATCGATCTATAAATTATGGTCAATTCCGTTTATTTCTCTATGACTTTCTGACTCACTCAAGCACGCGTTAAAGTCTAAGATTCTAGCATTGTACGATATTTAGTGTAAGTTAATTGTGTATCTAACTTTATTATTAAGGCTTTTTATATCGATCCGATTGGATCTATTCTTCAGGATCAAAGGACGATAAGTCCTAGTATATTAGGCACATGTTTCTTCAAGGCACCACGTTTTAATTTTCAGCTTTTCTCATAGCGAATTGAATCTACGTGTTAATTCTTCAATTGTAACGTTCTGCAAATTTGTTTCAAAATCCGTAATTATTAAAATCTAGAATAAAAAACTGATTCGACTGTTGCTCGCCATCTTGAGCAAAGATTTCATCTTTAGGATTTATGAATATAGATCACTTTTTTTTCTTCACAGATCTCGTCGGTTTAGCTTTGAGTTTCGGCTTACAGGAATTTCTACGAAGAATGGTTTCTCTCGTAATGTAGTTATAAACTAATCTAGGATCACCATTAACAAAATAGTTCTTCGCAACGATATTGTTGTGGAATCATTTGGAAGTTTAATTTTTTCAACGTTTTCTTAATCGATTCCGACTGCTAAGAATATCCGATTTTTCCTTGTTGATTTCACTATGCCCTGACGAACCGACGAAAATCTTTCTTAACTCGATTACCATGTTGATGGTCGCGCCCTAGGATTCAAGTATTATTGCCGGGAGAGAGTGGTGGCGAATTGACTTCCCTTTGTTCTTCCTGAACGCTCTCCGGCCTGCTGGCCGTACTGCTCGACCTTGAACTGAGATTGTCCCGGTCGCTGAAATACGACGAGTCGCCTCGTTTTTCCTCCAGTTGTAGTTGCTGTTTATCATTTCTAAAGTCATCTGTTGCGTGACCCAGCAGACTAGGGAAATATGGTATACCCTGTCGTTGCGAGGTGATTTTTCCCATAAAGCTGCGGATCTCCTCGAAGTAGGAATCGTCGGCCCGTGGCAATTGACCGTGATACCTCGATCTAACCTCATCCAATATCGTCGGTCCATCCGCGTCATGCTTCTTTAGATGACGATCCAGATTGGTTTGTTGGCCGAAGCATCTCTCGCAAAGCGGACACTTGAATGGTTTCTCCTTGTTATGGATATTTCTGACGTGACGCTGAAGGTTACTGGAGATGCTGAAGCTCCTCTCGCAGTACTTGCATTTGTATGGCTGCTCGCCGGTGTGCGTCCTCAGGTGTCTCGTCAGGTTCGCCGATCTAGGAAAGACCTTGCCGCAAAATTTGCAGGAATATCTGTCCTTAGGCTTGAGACCGGCTTGCACGCTGATCGAATAAGGTGGCAGATTTGAGCTTTGTTGTTGCGGCTGTTGCTGCGGCTGTTGCTGCTGTTGCGAGGGATGATTCTGTTGATGCTGGGATTGTTGACCAATAACCGGACTGACGTCTCTCGCAGTCGGTTGCGATGAGGACGAAGAGGATGTGGATGATGAAGTCGAGGAGAATCTGTTAGGCGGCAGAGGTACCATTGTGGGGAGCGCTCTAACTTGGATCTTTGGCAGATCGGGCACCGGCGAGCTGTGATGATGTGACCTGTACATCGCCTCCAGAACCAGCGGGTGCATCGCGTGATGTTGAGGGAAGAGCACCGTGTGATAAGGCAAACCGCCACCCAGACTGTTCTGATTCAAAACCTCGATCTCATTCTGGTTCTCATCCCTGAGCCGCTCCTTCTTATGATCGACGCGGAGATCGAGCGGCTCGCAGTCAAGCTCCTGATGATGCGGCTGGGGTGGTCTAGCCGCGGGACTCATGTGCGGCTGATGCTGTTGCTGATTCGTCGGGCTCGACAGGCCGCGGCCGTGACCGTGACTGAGATCGTATGGCAGCTCCTCGACGTCCGGTACGCGGACGCTCAAGGGATAAATGCTGGCTTGCTTTGGGCTTATATGGCCCGGCATCTTTCTCGGACTCGAATCCTTCTCCCGCATGGCTGGAGGATACTTGGGATCGTGCAGCAACGTCGGGGGCAGGGTGATGCTACCGAAGTATCCGCTCATCACACTGCCTCTATCACTCGGCCTTGCTCCTGCTCTCCGTTTGGGGTAATCTGAAACATGGAATATATCACATACTTAATTATTTTGAAAAAATTATATCTTTTTTTCTATCAAAATTAAAAAAATATTTTTTTGTGACATGAGAAAGTAATTTCATAGATATAATACACGTTAGAAATTATAAAACTTATATGTTTGATATATTTTTGATAAACAAAGTGAATCAAAATTCAGACATAACGGAAGATTTGATTTCGTATTGTTCGAGTTTCAAATGATTCGTATCAATATTAGTATTTGTTTCTTGTGTGTGTTAATAGGTGATTAAACTAATAAGGATTTGTGTGTGTGTGTGTGTGTGTGTGTGTGTGTAGAACCATTTTGTTTTACTAGCAAATAAATCGAAGACAGTTTCGAAAAGATAATTATTTTTCGCGTGCGTACCTAAATTATGTGTGTCCAGAGAGTCATACTGTGACTAATTAATAAAAAATCTTAGCGAGGATAAATTCTTTTTTTTTATTCCGATCTATATTTTATATATGCGTATATAAAATATTATATGATAAAATACGAGAATAGATGGCAGTCTCACAAAGAATAGTAAAATTTGAAGTTGATAAGACAATAATAAAAATGAAAAATATGTTGTTGAGCAACATAGACATGCGGCGTAAAACCAATTTTAAGGTCACATCCGATTACGACACTTAAAACGTCAATCAAAAGTAATTGAATATACTAATCTATAGCATCTCTAGATAGACATAACCGATTATTAGAGATACGTATCGCGTAATATCGATCAGTTGACGAAGCGAGTCTCACCGTTTGCGCTTCATAAATCAAAAACCCCCATCGTGCCAGACTTTCTTTCTGGAACGATAGAACCAGATTAGCAAGCTAAGAAGAATAGAGAAGCGTTATAAGGTCGCTAGAAAACGACGCTATTTGGAAATATTAGTGAAAGGATCTCCTTCTCTCTCTTTCTCTCTCTCTCTCTCTCCCCTTTCTCGATCGACGTAATTGTGAATCGTTGCCAATCGTAACGCGAAAGAGGCAGGGATAGGGACAGAAAGAGAGAGTGAAAAAAGATAGAAAGGCAAAGAGAGGGAACGCAACGGGATTCGATAAATCAAGGCATCAATCGTGTTATGATAAATGTGTCTTCGGCCTAAGGCTATGGCGAAGATTTTAGAAGACGAAGAAATCGATCTCCCGGGTAAATCGACCTGCTCGCGTTTTACTATTTGACGTCAGACGTCGGGGATAGAAAAAATATAGATGAAGTAGGAACACCTGCCAGATACGTAAGATGTGTCTATCAGATTTTTACAATCCTATATTATAGATCATTCAGTCGGGCCTTTCTCTCTCTCTCTCTCTCTCTCTCTCTCTCTCTCTCTCTCTCTCCCTCTCTCTTTCTATTTCTCTTTCTCTTCCTCCTATTTTATACCTTGTTTCTAAACGCTGTACTGTTTCACTCTGGCACGTGCTTCGGACTCTGTAGCGCCCGCTAATTGACAGAATTTTATTAATGGATCGTGATCATACGCGCAGTTAATTTTGCTCGGATTTTTTCCATTTCGCTCGTCAGCGAATGGATATCGTAAGTTCTTCCGCGATGTAATAAAGTATAACGATATCTGTAACAATCCGAAGGGATGTCGTGTTTGTACAACTTGTCGATTAAATTTACACAGGTTATCGATTAGTACACGTCTTGGAGAACAAGTGAGACATGAGATAAGTACATAAAAAAGAAATAATACAATAAATATACACAGATAAAATTAAAAAGAAGCACAGAAGTTTCGAATGTATAATAAGTTGAATATTAATGTTACGATGTACTACATTTATATCGCTAGAATAGATTAAATTTAAAACGTAAATATGATAGAAATAATTTAACGTGTAATTTCATAAATCACGCAACGAGTACTTATATTTTTTTCTTTCTGTTTCATCATTCTGTTATGATTACTTGCTAATTTTAATAATTATCGACACGCTTCCTCGTGGAGTATTTTTAATTTATAAAGAAAAATAAGTTTTTTTGTTTGTTATATTCTGTAGAGAGATCGCTCTGTGATAAGTCGATTCGTCGATTGAAAGTGACGCAGCTATGTCGGGATCATCGCTTTCTGCACGTTCTTGCGAGCATTGATGTCTCTATCCGCGCGTGGTGAGAAGGCGAGTATATTTTATCTTCAATCGCCATGTGCTACCGAGCTAAACATAGAAACACGAAAGGTTCTATTATATGTCGCAATTATATCTCACGTGACTATGTATATTTATTAATTTTTTTGACATTATTATAATAAATAAATATAAAATATAAAATAAAGCACCCAACATAAATTATAATAATTAATGTAATGGAAATGTCATGAAATAAAGTCTAGTAAAATAAAACAAATCCAAATATGAATTATCAATATAATTAATACAAGAACTAGAAATATAATTGTTATAATATTATTGTGTATATAAATACACACACACACACACATATATATGTATAGAACTCTTCTTATGTGTTTAAAATATGTATAAATAATAAGTTACGTAAAAAATAGAAAATCAACGTGTATTACTATGAATAGACCTATTTTAGCAATTATTTATAAATTATTTTGTAAAAATTAAAATAAAAGTTGCATAAAGAAGTAACTATATTATTACAAGAAAAAAGAAAAAGGACCGATAATGGAAAGAAAAAGAGAAAGAGAGTGTTTTATAATGAGATATTTATTAATTGCGTTTACTTATGAGCTCTTAATATGCAAACATGATATGGAAAATCTCTTATATCGCAGATATAAGCAATTAATGCAATGATTTAATGGCTTCCACCGAGCCGTAAATACATCTGTATCTCGAAGATCGCAATCGTTCAGTGGTCGTGTACGTTACGCTCGTCGCGCTCGAACTGATCCAGTTACAAACCAGAAACTCTAATCTGCTCTTCGGTTGTCCACTTCGGTGAAAGAGAAATCTGTTCGTTGTCAGTGCGGCTGGGAGGGTGAGGCGGAAAAAGAACGGCGACACGAGGCGTAAAAGGCGCGGACGAGCGCAAAAATCTCGCTCGTCCGACGATAACAGTGAAAAGCGTTAATTATGAGCGTCAAGAAGAATTCCTTGCGACCTGGGTTTCGAAGTCGAAAGTAAATGCGTAAGATGTGCAACACGACGCCCAATCGCGACGATCGATTTTTCTACATTACCGCTGTTGTCGCCGCCTAGCGTTTTCGCGCGCGGAAAGTGATAGTAGTGGAGCGTGTGTGTTGTCCGGCGAAAGATGCGGTCGATTAAGCCAGATTTACATGTACTTTCCCTTGTTTCCTGTAATAATACTCCGCAAGGAGAAACTTTCGCGCGACTTGAGCGCAGACGCATCCTCGGGCGACGCCCTGTCGAATTTGAGAAGATAATAACTTGGCGAGATATTGGATCTTGGACCGAGTTGCTTGATTTAAACTTTTTGGCAACACGATTGAACAAAGGAGTCGAGATTGCTTTCAGATTTCAGATGCATTGCTATAATTCTCTTCAATCGCTAATAATTGCTATAATGATTCTACAATAATTGCGTTCAGTAAAAGAAGCAATTTTGCAACTGATAAAATTCTTTATGATTGGTCTGACCTTAGTTTCTCAGTGAATTTAAACACATAAACCAATCATTAAAAAATTAGTTACAAAATATATGGTTACAAAACTGCTTTTTTTGCTGAATACCGTCATTATCTCGAGAATTTAGTATGAAGTTAGCACGATATTGTAATATAAAAAAAAATATAAAGCCGAAACACTGTCTAAAAATAATTTTAGAGCTCGAAGTTATCACATTTTTTTCATTTTTAGCTTTTTTGTGGCATAAAAATGCGAAACTTGTTTTATTTTGACGTAGAACTATAGAACTATGAAAAGTTCTGCTGGAACTGTAATTATTTTCTTTATATCAATAGAATATCGTGCTACACGTTCACAGATACTTTAACATTAGTACCTGCAAAGTTAGCACGATATATATTTGTATTTAGGTATATTATTAATATAAAAAAGATATTTACAGTTCCAGTAGCGCTTTTCATAGTTCTACGGTTCTACATAAAAATAAAAAGAAGTTTCGCATTTTTTTTGCGAAAATAAATGTCGTACTAACTTCACAGATTCGAGAATTGAAAATTTGTCAATTATATTTTATTAAAAAATTCTATTTTATAGTTATTCGATATGAGATCAAAGATTTAAATTTCAAAAATTGAATTTAATTTTTACTGAAAAATAATGTGCAATGAAATAATTCAAGAAATAGAATATTGACAAAGAGAGAGAGAGAGAGATATTTCTATGATTCAGCATACTCCCCGATCGTCTTGATTAAATTCGTTTTAAAAAAATTTCAAATTTTTTCTCTTTGCGTCGAACGGAGTTTCTCCGAGCGGCCGAGAGTGAGTAATGTCCACGGGAAATGGTAGCCGGTTACGCGGAACGGGAGGAGAAATAAAAAGAGCAAAAGAAAGAGAAGCGCGGTCGCGACGAGGACTGATGTCTGTTACGTGAATCAACCAGGACTGACGTTCTCGAGATCTCCCGAGATGTTGGCAGTCGCGATCCAGTTTTCGGTTTCTAGAAAGTCGGGATGAGCCCGGGCGTGGTTTGTATCTCTTTCGCGCTCAGTCCGCTCACCCTGTCCTGCTCTTTCTCTCACTACGTCGTCCTTGCTGGTATGATTTCTCTGCCGACATTCACCTACGTGTGCGATAAGTGCTCTTCCAGGGCCGCATGTATCTTGGTATTGCGCGAAATTCTATCGAATACGTCTCGATGCAAATGTGAGCTATATTATATACAATACGGTAGAGTTAATTCTTTCGTTTCAGTATCAGAATAATTTTACGAAGAAAGAAACTCGGATATAAATAATTTGAGATAAATTATATATAAATGTCAAATTTTAATAATTCAATAAATATTTGAATCTCTCTTTTTTACTGATTGTACATATAAAGAATTCATGAATGATCACAAGTTATCC